AAAAGACATACATCACCATACCACTGAACCCAGAATCCCTTAAGATGTGTATAAAGAACACCTCCACTCTGAATGTCTTAATTCGTCTCTGACCTCGCTGAAACAGAGAGGGGAACATGGTAGGTTTAAAGAGACCCACCACATCCATGCTTCCAAATCCCACCATAATACCAATGCAAACCCTAGAAACTTATGCACCTAGAAAAAACTTGATATGTGTGTAATAAAATTGTCAAGTGCGGGAGAAGAATATAAAATACATAATCCACACAATAAAGCCACGGGATTTCTATAAATCATAAACCCTCTAACAAAAAAAAAAATGGTATTCCAATACTTAACCATAGTAGAGCAATATATAATTAGCTCTAATAAAACTCGGAACCAGTATACAATCACATTACTACCTAGATCGGGCTTGAATGATTCCAACCAAAACCATCTCCCGACTACTAAAACTCGCATTTTCTTCCATTTGCCAAATAAAAGATGTACTCTTATTGGTCTGACCTTATCTACATAAAATGTAATCCATAGTTTTTCATATCGTAGAAGTGGTAGACTCCACCGAAGCCATACTATTCCGGTATACCTCAAACACAAACTAAACCCTGCAATTCCAGATGAGAGACATAATAACCAAATACCAAAAACCGACCACTTGATCCAACCTCTTCTTAGAGAAATATCGTGACCATAACTCAGCCTAACCTTCCATAGATTCCTCAAACTCCCAAGAAACCAAACAATCCAAACAAAAACAACTTTATTATTCCAATTCTTACTCATGATAATAAGCTAAACAACCAGCCATAACCCGATGGCCAAACAAAACCTCACACTAAACAAAAGTGCATATTGAAAGACAGAAAACATAACAACGCTCCATGAGCTTATTAAAACACATAATAGAAAAACTAAACCACAGAAACAAAACCCAGTTTCTTCCTTTCCAAGAATGACTTTTGCTTCATAAAAACTAGGCTTTTGGATGTCCAGTAGAGGGTTTGAAGCACCCTTACCCTCCACTTGCTTGACGTGCTTACCCTGTCAAGTCCCTTGCTTAGTCATCCCTTTTTTGCATGGTGATAATACCATAGTGACAACTCTCATCTTAGAGCTAGCCGCTATTTGTGGGGGAGGTTTAACTAGCTTCTTACGAGCTCCTGGATTCTTCCCATTCTCCCCTGTCCCACGAATCTTCCCCTCTGCAGCAGTATCATTCCTTCGCCCCTGCTCTCCAGCCACCTCATGTCCATTCAGTAAGCTCTGTAACCCTCTTCAGGCTCCTCCTCCTTTACATCCTCTGGCACGTCTTCCGCATCCATATCAATCCCATTATCAAGACAATATGCCGTAATTTCATCCATATCCATCAAGCCATCTTCTTCCTCTTTGTTTTGCTCCTCCACCATCTCTTGGATCACTTTCAAGCCTCTCTCTTCATCTGTGGGATCCGAAACAACTGTTGCGCCTGATGCCTGTGTATTTTCTAATTCCCTTTGAAACTCATGAGACGGTTCAACAACTAGATCATTTCCATCTTTCTTCACCTCTCCTTCCTCCATAGACTCTTTCTAATATTTCTTTTGAGGCCCTTCATCTCTTATCTGTCGAGGATAACTGATATTGTGTTGTTCCTGCCCATTATACCTTGAAAACTCCTTACGTGTAGATCTATGCCGAGAGGATTCCCCCTCTCCCCTAGTATTACCACCATGATAATCAGTTCTCTTACTTCCCTTATCAGCAACCTTAACCCGTTGCGAGTCAGTCTCTTCAAATGTCTTGCCTTTGCCCTTCCCATAATAATTGCGTCCCTCTATCACCCTTCCATGTTGATTCTCATGACCATTTATAACCACACCCTTATAATTTCTTGCCCACTCATCATGTTTCCCCCCTTCATGTCTCCCACCATATCCATTGCCATGCTCATGCTTCCTCTCCGGACTCTGATGTGAGTTCTTCTTACTTAAGGGACACCTCTCCTCCTTATGACACATACTGAAGCATGTGGAGCAGTACCCAAACAGCTTCTCAAACTTCAACGAGACCGGCACTTCCTCCTCATCTTAGAACTCCCCCCCCCTTTGAAGTCAATTCTAGTATCAAAACATAGTTCCTATATATCCATCTACAATCACCTGCGCACGACGATTTTCCAGATCCACTATAACTGTCCTTCCTATTGCGTTACCAATACTCTCAAAAGTTGGGACCATCCTGAAATCTGATGGAACTCTTAGAACTCTCACCCAAAAGGTTATCTGTGATGGGAAGCTCTTAGACTGCCGTGGTTGCCACCGTGCCAAAGCAACCATCCAATATCAAAATGGAATGGTTGTGAAACGAGAACTCCATCAATATGTTCCTCAGATTCGAAATCAAATTGAAACTTGCCAAGTCCCAAATCTGATCCCACTACATGATCCTCCATATGCCAGATCTTTGGGAGGTTCATGATTAACGCCTTCATGTCTTGTTCTTCCGGGTTCATGCACCTTCCAATCAATGTTTTGGAAAATGTTTTGATGAGCTCCGAGTTGTCGAAATGAGGCACCGAGATCTTCAATCTCTTGTGCATCCCTTCATCATTCTTCATGTCTCCAGAGTTTCCAATCAGCTGGCTCTGCATTGTATCAAACCACAACAAAAATGAAATTACTCTTTTTGTGAAGAAGATACTAAAAGCAACCGAAATTGTGATGGTAGACCATATACTCTGTCTCCTTATATATTGAGTTTCTTTTGTCATCCCAAATCTACACGATACACCTATAATTGCACTAAATTCCTTTCACCATATAAACTCAAATTGCTGAATCCAATCTAATCCCCAATCAAACTGATTTTGCCAATCTTTCCTGATTCTCCCGTATACGAGTAAATCTCTTGTTCCTCTAGTAGTTATAATATGTAATGAAACTTCCCTTTTCTCTACAATGAAAACAAATCTGAATCCTTTTAGAAGAATAAGATTAACTTGATATGATTTTAATATGGTCTTGATGATGACCAGATTCCTGAGCAAATCTTCAAATCTTTTATATTTCCATAGGTCCTAAATCCTCCTCCTTCCTTTTACCAAAACTCCCCAAGCTAAAATAAGTGTAATCGCATCTCCTTTGATTTCCCGCATATATGGTCTTCTTTCGACCTTCTTCTCTTTTCCCGATTCCCTGGATCGAGTATCTGTGAAAAGTCGTGTATGGAGATCTTTCCCGATCCTCTATCGATCCCAATCTCCTCTTATCTGATTTCCTTTTCCAATTCCTGGTTCCCATCGCTTTGTCACCATCAAACCCTAGATCTCCATCGCCGTCGCCTTTGTCTTTGATAGAGAAAAAGAAAGTTAATTTGTTCTCTATTTTATAAATAACTAGTTTTGATCTCATGCTTCACATGGGAAAAAAATTGCTTGCAAAGAAAACCATGATTTCAGATATAAATAACTTTAATTGTTTTGACCCAGAAAAAAACTCTAATTGCATGTAAAATAACTTTGATTTTTTTTTTGACATCAAATAACTTTGATTTACCAGGAAGAGATGAGTATACATTTTCTTTTTGACTTCGGACAAACTGTAATTAGTTTAAAGCTTTTCACTTATTTTTGTCTTGTTCTTCTTGTGTTAATTAGTTATGACTGTAAAAACATGTAACAAAAAATACCAGTTTTATAAAAAGAAAATTGAAAGCATGCTTGAAAAGTATATGTATGATAGTTGCACATTAATTTGATGAACATGACAGAAGAGAGAAAAATGAAGTATATTCATTTTTCAAATTTCATATTTTCCAACCATTATTGGATATATATCTTCGAGAAAGAAATCTTTTAAAATGTTAACTTAGAGAATGAAAGCACTAAAGAATTTGGTTGTTTGGTTGTCTACTATATATTCCCTGCAGTCAAAAGTCAAGAGAATGCAGTAGAGTTGAAAACTAAATTATTGTTCTTTGTGATATATCGATGCTTTAAACATCTAATATAAATAAATTATATTTGTAGACTGTAACAAATTTTTCGAGAAACTGGAAATACCTCTATTAGTTTGCCTTAGAATTTGATCGAGTTTCCATGGCATCATTGATTTTGCATCTTTTCAACACTTGAAGTTTTTACACAGACCAAATTTTCTAACTGAATATCTAAAACATTAAAATCATGAAAGCCTTTTTACCTTATTACCAAAATTCATATCTCTTATTAGCTATTGTACCATGTCCACATCTCCCTTTTCCCTCCTCCTTTCTTTCTCTTTTAATCCGGATCATACCCACTCTTTCTTGAACCATCTTGACCTTAAAGAGACATCAAAATATTACAAAGGAGTAAGATAGCATATTTGAGGAATTTGGATTGCTGAGATCCGTTTATTCGATAAATAGAACACTGGCTCATGACATTTTGAATTAGGGTATTAATCTTTCATATTATACTTTTATTGGTAGTTTTGATGTCGTTTATTTTCAAATTATAGAGATGTAAAAATATTAAAAAATTAAAATTGGACGAATGATGATCAAAGGTGCCGTAGTGGGATTTCTAAGACAGTTAGTAATTTTTCCCCCTCTATCATTATCTTTTTTTAATTATTATTTTTTTTTTAAAAAGTGTAAACACAAATGATATGGCAAAATTTGATTGGTCATATGATTTATATTTTAGTCTATAAAAGATAATTCGATATTAAAATGGGGAAGCAAAATTTCTTTTATATCAATCTATATATTTAGACCAGCAGCGCGGAAGCAGATAACGCGAACAACGTAGATTATGTGGACCCACAGAGCCTAGATGAGAAAATTCAGGTCGACGAGAAAGGATAATTTCGGAAATTTCCAGAAATTACGGGGTCCTCGTATTGCCAAATTGCTCATCCTCCTCTTCTTCAAAACCAACAATTCGAAAAACAACCTAACGCGTCGTCAACACTGAACAGCTTTCGTATTTTCCAATAAATTTACCTCTTTTTTTTTGGGTTTTTTTTTTTATCCTTTCAGTTATCACTTTATATATATACACAGATTTGTGATCTGCAATCGCGGTTGTGATATCAATGACAGAACCAGAAAGATTAGGAGGAATCTCTCTGAGTTTTCCTGCGAACGAAGATGATACCGCTATGGCCTCATCTCCAAAGACTCTTCCCCGGAGGCTCCGCCGCCGTCTTCTCGAGCCGAAAAGCCCCGTCTCCGCCGAGGAGATCGATTCCAAACTCAGAGATGCTGATCTCCGTCGTCAGGTAAATAAAATCAAACTTTGAGAGATGGCCGAGAATTCATCCTTACTTTTGTTGTTTGTTTGCAGCATTACTATGAATCACTGTCGACCAAGGCACGGCCTAAGACGAGAAGCCCGAGATCGGCACCTATAGAGGAACTTAGTCAAAGACTCGAATCAAAGCTTAATGCTGCTGAACAAAAGAGGTAAAAGATATTTTATTTGGAAATCAATGTGAAGGAGGATTCATTATTTGATAATGTAATGCATTAGGTTGAGCATTCTGGAGAAAGATTTAGCTCGTTTAGCGAAGCTAGATGAAGCAAGACAAGCTGCAAAGAACGGACTTGTGCAAAGAGTTGAGAAGCAGCGCGATGAGTTGGAGATAAAGGTTGAAGAAAGGGTTCAAAAAGCTGAGAATAATAGGATGCTTCTGTTTAAAGCCATGGCGCAAAGGAGAGCGGCAAAGAGACAGCGTGCTGCGCAGAGCTTGATGCAGAGAGCAATTCAGGAGAATAGGTACAAGGAAAGTGTGCGTGCGGCTATTTATCAGAAAAGGGCAGCTGCAGAGAGTAAACGGATGGGGATTCTTGAAGCGGAGAGGAGGAGAGCCAACACGAGGTTGAGACAGGTTTTTGGAGCTGCTAGTTCTGTGCAGAGTCAAAAGGAAGCTGAAAGAAGGAAAATGAAGGATCGTTTAGAAGAACGACTTCAAAGGGTATGCTTAAAGTTCTCAAGCTTTTATCATTGTTTGTCTTATTGCCCGTCATTTTTCATCATTGGTTTTGGCATTTGTTAGGCCAAGAAGCTGAAAGCACAGTATCTGAGGCGGAGGAGAGGCGTTGACAGTGCACGTCAGAGATCAGAAACAATGCGAAAGAAGCAAGAACATCTCGTCAGGATGTTAGAAAGGTCTGTGTTGTTCTTTAGAACCTTTTAATAAGATGTTTCACTGTTTTAGTTTGGTGGTCTGATTATCGTTTTAAATAATCTCAGATGCTGGAAGAGATTTGCAAAGCACAATAAATCTACTATTGTCTTGGCTAGAGCCTATCGTGATCTGGGGATTGATGCAAAGTCGATTGAGATAGTGCCGTTTGAGCAGTTGGCCATTCAGATGAACTCTCTTACTGTAATTCGAACAGTGAAAGAGCTGCTTGATCGTTTGGAGATCAGACTCACTCTATCTCAGGGATCTACTGTGAAGAATATTAATCATCTTCTTAAGCATATCTTTCCACCAGCTCGAAGAGGTAACTCGCCTAGTTCTGTGACTCCAAGCGAGCAAAGGTCACCTAATTTCAATAAGATGGGACATGAAAAACTCAAAAAGATTGCAAGATACCCAGCTAGAATATTTCTCTGTGCCTACATGATCAAACAACATCCAGATGCAATTTTTAGAGGAAGAGGTGAAAATGAAATTGCGTTGGTGGATTCTGCAGCCTCTCTTATTCGAGAGTTTGAATTGTTGGTGAAGATTATATTGGAAGGACTGGGCGACAATGTATCTCTGTTAACTCCAGGTCCCAAAAAGTTCAGATCTCAGTTAGAAGCATTTGATAAAACTTGGTGCTCTTACCTGAAAGGATTTGTAGTTTGGAAGATTAACGATGCTAAGCTCTTAGAAAACGAGTTAGACAGTACTCAAAAGCCAGAGCTGTCTGAGGGGTCCAAACACAATTTTCTAAATCATAAGCCGGTATGTTATGTTACTCTCCTTTCCATTTTCCTTAACAAGTTTCTGTCTACACGAACCATGGAAGGTCGGAAGCTTGATAGGGAGAATGACTCTTCGTTTTTTGTCAGCTGAAGGTATCGTCTCCAACTGGTCGGGCCATACTGACTGGAACTGAAGGTGGTGGAGCAGGAGAATTTAAAGAATCTGCAGATTCGCTTCGTCAATCTTCATCTTCTCCTGGATCATCAAGTTCTTCTCCGTATTTGAACTCTGGTAGTATTATCAATCAGTAACCTTTAATAGCTCAGATTATACAACATGTTTTCATCTGACACAACCTTTTTTCCAGCAGGAATTGAGGTCATTTCTCCTCCAAATGTGACAGGCTTAGATGCAACATTGGCTAGTGAGAACGAAGTAATCGTAAATGAAATTGTGCATGAAAATAGCAGTACTTTCGCTGATAGCTTCGATGCTGGCACTGCGGATACAAGCAACCTTCAGGTATGTAAATATTAGCTCTATTAAGCTGTTATACATATTCCGAGTCCATAGCTATTATATTATCAGCTGGAATCATATTTCTTCACTTGCAGGTGAAGGTTAAGGAGACAATGGAAAAGGCGTTCTGGGATGGCGTCATGGAGTCCATGAAACAGTCACAGCCAGATTTCAGCTGGGTAATTAAACTCATGAACGAAGTTAGGGATGAACTCTGTGAGATATCTCCCAAAGATTGGAGTCAAGAGATTGTTCAAAGTATTGATACAGATGTGCTGTCACAGGTGCTTATTACTGCAACCTTAACTCAACTGTTGCTACAACAAATACGATATCTACTTATATGTATATTTTTCGTGGCATGATTCAGTTACTGGCTGCGGGAAATGTCGACATGGGTTATCTTGGAAATATTCTAGAGTTCTCCCTTGGCATTTTACTGAAACTCTCGGCTCCAGCTAACGAAGAGGAAATCAGGAGTACGCACCATAAATTAATGACAGAACTTGGAGAGATAGTTCCAACTGAAGACCAGTCGAATTCGTCCTATGCAGTTTTAATGGTCAAGGGACTACGCTTTGTTTTGCAGCAGATCCAGGTATTCAATTTTATTTTATAGTTAATCGTTTCTTAACTGTCTGAATAGCATGTAGTTTGTAAGAGTAAGTTGCATATGACCATTAACGGTTAACCACCATATAAGCATTAAAGCATTAAAAACCTGCAAAAATAACACATGGTGTCTAATTTGTTAATTCATTTTCAATATGATATGTCCTCTTCGTGCAGATTCTGAAGAAGGAAATCAGCAAATCTCGTTTGAAACTCTTGGAGCCACTTCTTAAGGGACCTGCTGGTCTGGAATATCTGAAGAAGGCATTTTCTAGTCGGCATGGTTCCCCAGACCGAGCTGCTTCCTCTCTGCCATTGACAAAGCGTTGGCTTTTTAGTGTTCGTGGAGAGGCGGAGAAGGAGTGGGATGAACATAAAGATGCCCTTTCTGCTGTCACAAATAACAACCCTGGATCATCAGGCCTCCCTTCAACCACTATGCGAACTGGGGGCAATGCACCCTCTGTTTCAAAAGTCAATCTCCCTTCGTCGGCATTTCCAGGTTTGGTCTCAATCTTTCAATCTTTATAGTTTTTTTGGTAAGGACACAGTTCAACTTAACTCAAACCAAGTGGTAAATATCACCTATAGGCCCCAAACTTGTTTCTTCATATTAATGGATATATTTCATCTTGACAAGCTATCAACATTATATGTGGCTGCTGAAGGGTTCTAAACTACATGCGCCCATGATATTTCGGTGAATCCAGCTCTGTACTCATTTATTGATTTATTTGCACACGCTGGTGATGTTCTATTGCAGGTATTGAACTATCAGAGTGCAAAGGAGAAACTGTGGATCTTCTTGTTCGTCTTGGCCTCTTAAAAATGGTGAGCGAAATTGGTGGACTTACTTTAGAAACTATCCCCGAAACATTTCAACTCAACCTCACCAGGCTGAGAGCTATTCAATCCCAAATCCAGAAAATCATTCTAGTCTCCATCAGGTCAGTAGTGACTAATCTTACCACTTGATAGCCTCTCTCAATCACAGTGACGAGTATTAACTGCTCCGTGTCTTTGTTTTAGTGTGTTGATCCTTCAGCAAACTCTTGCAAGCCCTAACTCATCTGACGTGGAGACCATTACATGGACCTGTATTAACCGACTCTACGAGATGTTAGATGCGAAACCTGATGCTGGTCTTTCAGAAATCATGGAAACATTCTCCGAGCTTCTTGATTCTGACGATACAGAGACAAAGAAACGGGTGATTGCAAACATGCTTGTGAAGAGCTTACAAGCAGGAGACCCAGTGTTCACACGTGTGTCACAGACCATATACCTAGCGACACGGGCTGCAGTCATGGCGGGTAACAACACGAAGAAAAAGCAATTGGTGGAAACAATGCTACGAAGAATCGGAACAGCTTCTCTCTCGGACAAGGTTATAGAGGTTTCAGACATTCTGGCTCTTGTGGCGAACGTTTCGCATAGTGTTCATGGAGTGTGGTACGAGGAATTGCTGAAGAAACCGAATTGAAATCGAGAGATTGTGAACCGGTTTGGTGTGTTTATGGTTTGATCCATATTTAAGTGTTTGTAGATGAGAGTGAGAATACTACGTTTGTATTTATTGAATTCTATTAACATGTGGAACATAAATTATAGCCTCTATTTTTTTTTTTTGGGCAAAATAGCCTCTATATTTTTAAAATAACTAAGGTAGATAGATATCTGTGCTCGCTTTGCGAGGGAGATGAAATTATTAGAAAATAATTATATTTACTTTACATTTTTGTTTATAATTGCTAACAGACAATCAAATCAGTAGCCCTTACCATACATTTCAAAAATTATGAGAGCATTTGATCTTTGGATTTTTGAACATAACATTTGTGTCCTTCACCTGCATGGTGAGTAAGATTTTAGTTTAGATTTTTTGGTTTCAAAATTTTTGATTAAATTAGTAAATACAATAATTTATAATAATATATTTCTTTTAAACTAATAAAAATATAAGATGTTACCACTAAGAACAAACGTTAAAAAGAGATTTACATAAAATTTTGATTAAAATTTGAAGTTTATAAAATATTTGGAAACTAATATTTAGATATACTGTAATCTATTACTGTTTTCATTTCAAAATGTCCATATTTAGAGAGAAATTGTTTCAAATATAGATTTTTATTGTATTATTGTGAGAAATTTCTTAGGATAGTTCCTTTTAGTTTATTTTCTCAAAAAAGTCTAAAGAAGAAAATCACAAAAATAGATTTTATTAAATGATAAATATATTTTATATCCTAGGGTTAATTAACCTTAGATTTTTTTTAGTTTAGAGTTATGTTGAATTTTGGGGTGGGGATTTAACGTATTCAAAAATAGAAAATAAATAATAAAATTTTAAAAGTAGTTTCAAAAAAAATTTTCAAACTACAAAATGAAAATATTTAATATATATATATATATATATATATATATATATATATATATATATATATATATATAAAGTTCGAATTTGAAAACATATAATCCAAAATTTTATTATTTTTTTTATTATTTTTTTGTATTTAGTTTTTATATTTATATACATATAAAAAGGGGTGGAATGGTTGTTCTTTAATGAAACTTCTTTTGTCATTTTTCTCCAAGATTATTTTTTTTTAATAAAAACTTAAAAATGTTTATTTGAGAGAATTGTCATATTTTATTACGTAGTAATTGTAAGTAGTAAACTGTTAAAAAAATATGTTTATTAAACTTCTATTAAATTTAATTTTGAAAGTATTTTATTAAAACAATAATGCATTTATAATATAATTTAATACGTTTTATTAATATGTGTGAAAATCTAAAATATGGATCATTTTGAAATCAAAAGAATATTATAAGTAATTTGGAATTATATGTAAAAACAAATTAAGATCAAACATTGTGTATTTTTTACTAAACAATATATGCATACATATTTATATGGTTTATTTTTAGGTGTTTTTGCAAAATTGACTCACAACTCAAAGTCAAACACAAAACTAACTTTTTCTTTTGACTCATCTTTCTTTTGTACTATTCACCCCACATCTTCATTTTATCTACGAAAATGCCACTAATTTTTTTTTTCAAAAATGGCTTTTTTACTATCTCAACCTCATCATCTTCAAGTATTTACAACATTGTCATTGCCATGAATACACCTAACAACCTTGTACAACTAGTTTGAAGCTTTTAATGCACCTAAAGTCGATACCCAATCTCTCTTTCTCAATTGTTATGAACTAAAAACAACATCTCTTTCACTTTGTCTCTATATTCATACAAAAAACCCAAGCTTTTGATTCCAAATTTTTTTTTTATGGTAGATCGAGCCATTTAAGCATACAATTCTTGGTGGGTTACTTTCGTTTGATGTTCTGGGTGGTTGGAGAAGACTATGTGTGCTAAGGAAGTCATATCACCTAGTTTAAGGTATGAAACTGAAATTTGTACCAGATCTGTTCGCGTATAAGACTTACATGTAAGTCTTCTGGATGTAGAAGACTTACGGATAAGTCTTCGGGTCAAACGGACGACTTATCCAGCTTACATTTAAAAAAAAACTCTAGACGACTTATAAGTAAGTCATCTAGGAAAAACGGGCTAGTTTTGCATTTAACTGAATTGTGTCAGATATCTTATTTTTCCTGGACGACTTACCAGTAAGTCGTCTCTGGGAAAGAAAAAAATTCAATATTTTAGTAGTTCAAGACGACTTACGGATAAGTCGTCTTAGGTTAGTTTTGTAACTGAAAAATAAAACTTTAATTTTAACTTTTCCGAGAAGACTTAATTTAAAGTCGTCCAGTCAGACGACTTATTCTAAAGTCGTCCAGTCAGACGACTTATTCTAAAGTCGTCCGTGATAAGCAAAGTCGTACAAAGTTTTGCCAGTCAAGCTTTGCTTATCTCGGACTACTTTCGAATAAGTCGTCATACTGGACGACTTTAAATTAAGTCTTTTGGGAAAAGTTAAAATTAAAGTTTTATTTTCAATTACAAAATTAACATAAGACGACTTATCCGTAAGTTGTCTTGAACTAATAAAATATTGAAATTTTAACTTTCCCAGAGACGACTTACTGGTAAGTCGTCCAGGAAAAGTCAAATATCTGACACAATTCTGTCAAATGCAAAACTAGGCCGTTTTTCCTAGACGACTTATAAGTGATCTCGCTTAAATTTCAATTGCAAAAATGACCTGTCTGGAAGACTTACCGTTAAGTTGTCCGGAGAAGTCGTCTGGACGACTTACTTGTATGTCGGCTGCGTCAATGTTTAGTAAACTTTCATTTTCTCTATGTTTACTAATGTGTTTTTATTTTGAATTTTTGCAGATGATTCGTCAGTTACATGCAGTGTATGGAGAATGGTTGTTCAAAGATGGCTGTTGGGATTTTGTGGTTGATAATTTCAAAGGAGCGAGAATGTTTCTTTTGAGTGAAGGTTCGACACATGCTGAACTTGTTTCAATGGCTCAAGAAGATTATAACCTGGACATGAGCACAATCACTGTGAAGATAAGCTACTCATTACCAGCAGAAATTAGGATAGCTCCAGCCACTCCTCCCATTCATGTTACAAGTGATAGACAAGTTTGAAACTTGCTCGAGATAACCAAAACGCATAGAGTATGTCTTTGTGTATCAAGCCGTAGCAAAGTGGAAACAGTTTCAGAGAAAAAGGAAGAAGCTGATGAATGGTTTGAAGATGATGATGATAATGAGTTGGTTGAAGATGAAAATCATGATGGGGAGGAGGATGATGGGGAGAAAGATGATTATGAGGAGGATGCTCATATCTCTATAGTTTCCGAAACAGACGAGAATGGTGAGGATTACAGTGTTTATGGAAAGGTTAAAGATGAGGATGAGGAAGAAGATGATGATATTTGTGATGTGTTGCATATTTACTTGGTTTTAACCTTGCATTCTTGTTCATATTGAGCATATAGATTAGATTTAGGCACACTTAGGTTGCATTTTTCATTCATTTGTCTTTATCAGGTGGTGAAACAATCCTTGGAGTCCTTGTAAGTGATTTGGTGAGTTTGAGGTCTAAAAAGAGAAGTTTGGAGTGAGTAGTGCTCGAAGAGAGACCGGAGCGACGTCCCCAGCGAGGCCCCCTGGTCGCTCCATATCAGAGCGACACCTGAAGGTCGCTCCAGCATCCAGAGCGACACCCCGAGCGACGCATGATGGCCGTTCGCGTTCTCACAGAAAAAGAGCCTTGGGAGCGAGGTATGGGAGCGACCTGGACAAGCCGCTCCAGCGCCTGGAGCGACCTCTGGGAGCGACACGGCCAGGTCGCTGCGTGTCGTTTGTGTACGAAAAACTTGTTTATTTTGGGACCTTTTGGTCATTTGTTTTATGTTCTGACATTTGAAAAACCTAAGTTAAGTACTCTGTAAGCCACCATTGGCAGATTATCTTTTGTTCTTGAAGAAAACTTCTTTTGGATTGAGATTTCATGGCTTTCTTATTGTGTTCTTGTTGATTTCTTATCTATCTCTTTACATGATTAATCTGAAATCCAATATGGGTTTAAGAGGAATCATGGAGATTAGTAAGTAATCACCTTTTGAATTCATGGGTTAGGGAGATTAAGGGTGATTAGGTTAGATCTAGGATGTTTTAGTGTTAGATTTCTCTTGTTCCTTGCTTATTAGAGTAACCATAATGCCTTTTTTGAATTGATCACTCAAAAGTTGATCTTTAGACATTTCCCACTCACAAAGTGTTCAATGAAATGTCTGAGTCAACTTTCTTAAGCTTTTAACAGTCTTTACCAGGGACACTTGTTGTTAAAGGTGTTAAGATGGCTAATAGATCTATTCCTAATGATTACTTTCATAATATTCAACCAAAGACATTTGATGCTTGAGTTATGGTAGTAAATGAACATTCATCTAGACATAGAGCTTGTTTAGAATCGTATCCAGGCCTAAGGTAGACAGTTTAATTGATCGCTTGCCATCCCTAGATCGAAACCTGATCACCCAAGGTCAAATTCCCTATACCCATGAGGTCTTCTTTATCTTCTTTGTCAAAGTTATATCTTTTATTGCATTCTAGTTTTAGTTAACCTTAAAAACCAATCAATCACATGATCGCACTTAGATTAAACTAGTACTTGTATTCTCGGTGCTTTTAAATCCCTCAGAACTGGTTCGACAATCATCTATACTACAACATTTGCTTTAAGAGCCTCAAAAATTCCTAACACCAAATTGGCGCCGTTGCCAAATTCTGAGTAGATTGAAACATTGAGATTTAGTCACTTGCTTGAGACTAAGTCATTTTTCTTTATTTTGTTACTGATTCTTTATCTTCATCTCTCTTTGGATTTCAGGTGTATGAACTTGAGGAGCAAAGGCACAACAAACCTTGTTCCAAGAGTTTCAGATATCAGAGCGTTTGAAAAAGAGATTGCAAGACAGAGAATACAAGTAGAGCAACAAGCTCAGCAACAGAGGTTGGATACTGGCATGGACCCACCGGTTAACGTCAACGGGAAAGACCCACCAGCTCACCCAGCCCGCCCAACTCGCCCTATTGGCACCTATGACCACCCAAACCTTCATGGCAATAGGTTGGGAATCCTTGCACCAGCTGTGGAAACCAACAACTTTGAGGTCAAACCAGGACTCCTCAACGTGATTGAGAACAACAAGTATCATGGGTTACCTGTACAAGACCCA